GCACGTGCGGACCATGCCGTGTCCAGCGGCGGCGCCCTGGGGCAAGAGTTGGGTGGGCAGCAGGGTAGCGGGATTTTTGTGGGGCCCTGCTCCTTGGCTTTCAGCAGAGCTGCCCTGCGGAGTGGAAATGCCAGTAAGTTGAGGGGATATTATGCGCATAATTGGAAGCGCGACACATTTGGGGAAGCTCTACACGAAGTGGTCTTGGCTTCCTGTTCTCGTCTCCCCTCTCTCAGTGTGAAATGAAGGGGGTGGTTAAGGGGTTGAGGGGTCTCAGAGAGCAGATTCTTCCTCGCTGAGCTTCTCTGGGGCTGGTCCCAGGAGGGGACTTTGGCCAGGCTGGGGCGAGACTCTGCTGGGATGGAAGTGGGGGGAGGACCTTCCAATAGGTGTGCTTTTGGGACTGCTCAGCGGGCACGCGCCCTGCCTGCTCTGCCAGGGCAAGGAGAGGAGATGCCAGCTGGTGCTGCTGCAGCAAGAGTGCTCAGACGGGTTCTGAAGTCATTGCGATGCACCTCCAGAAACGCGAGGATCCCCTGCCACACACACAGGCACCCACACACTCTTGCCTCCTCTAAGGCCTAGGACGTGCACCGGGAGAAAGGGCAGAGGTGCTGTCCCCACTTCTGGAAGGAGCTGAGGAGCGGGGAGGTCTTGCTCTTTGCCCGCCCAGAGGGAGGCGTTTACTATTAAGGCCTCTCCTGTGGAGGACTGAGACCTGGCACTGCTTTTTACCCCTCTGCCCTGGGGGAAGTAAGGGAAGCCTCACCAGAGTTCCTTGCCTGCAGTTGAGTCCCATTCTAATGGCTTTTTAGGGTTGTACCGCCCCCCCACCCGAAAACGTTGAGTCTGTTCAGATCTTTTCACAACAGCTTAAAGTTAGGCGTTGCACCTACCCCAGGAGGACATACCTAGGGAGGCTTACACTGAAAGTCGTCCAGGTGATCTTTCCAGAGACCCATCGCTCCGGTTCTGCTAATATCGAGCATATCCCTGAATGGCAGGCATATTGGGAAGAATGAATTCTTAAACATACTGCTCTCTTAATAACCTTTTTGGTGAATACATAGGGCAGGACGAAATCAAGACTCTTGACAAGTTGACCTGATAGACAGTGGCAAAGCCATGATTCAGGCCCAGGACTCTTTAGTTCACACTCATTTCCTCCTGAGTCCTGCCATTTAGGGACCCCTCTATGGAAAGGGATAAAGAAGGAAGACAGTAAAATCCCTATTTCCCTGAATTTGGATTTAGTGACTGAAAGGAATAACCAGTTGTAATTCACAGATATTTAGGTGTGACAAACCTGACATTCCTGACTTTAAGGAGCTTCATGACTTGCAAGGACAGAAACTCCTCTATCTTTCTGAATTTGAGCAGAGCTTAGATTTGGCAGACTCTGACATGTTGGGAGGGAGAAGTTGTCTCCCAACCCACCTTTGAATGAGCAGACATGGCAGTGTCCTCAG